TTTCGAAAATTAAAACAAATTGACCTAGGTTGAAACAAATTGACCTAGTTTTAAACACGAATTAACCTAAGGCTCAATTTAACCTGCAACATATACATTGACGTAAGGTCAGTTTACTTGTCTAAAGGATTTTCTTGTGAGCAGAATTATCACTAATTCCAACCACCATTCTATAACGAATAAGTGAGTCTGTGAGGGACCCATAATTACAAGTCTTGGCAAGCTTCCTCACTGCTGCGACGTCGGCATCAACTGATTCATTTGTCTCCTGGTCCCCTCGGTTGAAAACATTCTCCATCTTTGTGCGAATGATCTCTGGATCCTTTCTTTGGTCTTAGTGTCGAGTTCCATTGCATCGATAACATCCAACGCACCCGGGCCGATACAGGTGAGCAAAATTGAAGTCCTTTGTTCCTGTCCTGATTTTCCGCGTCTTTGAGTTGAGCAGCGATCTCATAGTTCAACCACGCTCAGCTTAAGCGTTGCCACTTCACCGCCAGATTTTCACCGCTCAAGTCTAGCTTTTCCGGCAGAGGTATACTTACGGGCACAATGATCACAGCGGGTTGAGTACCCGTTAAATTTTGAGTAGTAGGAATTTCTCCTTTACTCGGATTTGGCATATTCAGTTCACCATGAGGACCGCACGAAACGACATACAGTAAGATCACAAAAATGACGCCACAACACCAACCAAATCCTCTCCTTCTACTAGTACAAGCGGGTCATTTCAGCACAGATACGTCCGACAACATGTAACGTAGTTGTGAGACAATGAACTTGACAGTAGCTGAAGAACAGCTCATTTAATCACAGTAAAAAGGCTTCGTCGGCTACATGTGATAAAAGAACAGAAAATGCGCTATCATCCAGGAACTTTACCTATCCTGAGGGCCTGTAACTAACAAAATCGTCACAGACCTTCCTATACTTCTGCTATGACTTGCCAATTGCATTGTAAAATAACCACTACATAACTTGGTGCTAGACCATTTAGATATTTAAAAGCTAAAACGAAATTAATGAATAAAATCTTCTCGGAAACATTCAGCCATTTTTGAGATCTGCGACCCTCAGAAATATGGTCAAATTTCTTAACAATCCTGGCAGCGAAATTCTGCACTAACTGTAGCTTATGTATGTTTCATTTAACTGTGTTTTCCCACACAGAGAAACAATAAAATAACTTGCTTAAGATAACGCTATTTGTAATTAATATGAGTGACTTTGGTAGGAAGGAAAAGGCCGATTCTAAACAATATATAAAATACTATTTTCCCGGTTTCCGCTGTCGTTAAGTTTTTTAGCCTCCTTAAAATTCATTCTGATTATTTGCGTGTACCATTTTCCGTCATTTACCCAAATTTAAATTCAAGGAGTTATTTTTTTTCCTTTAATTGCCTCTCATTTTGCTTTCTGTCCTTTACCAACCAAATTCAGACTGATTAAAGTAAGACATTATTAAGCACGAAATTTCAAAAAAGCTAACACAATTCATAAAATCATAAAACCATAATGAATATGAAATTTAACTAAATTAAAAACCCTAATGCCTCGGCCCCTTTGGGGCCTCCGGGGTAGGGGGGTGGGGAACCGGGAAAATGAGGGAAAATAGGATTTTATTGGCAGAAACGTAAACACACACGGCAGTTCAACAAACAGCCATCTGTAATTCATCCGTAAAACTACTTAACAAAATACCCCTTGTGGACTAGGGTTCCATGACCTTTAGAACGGTGCAGAGAGGTGCATGATCAGTTCTTATGCGAAGTTTCGGCCCTTCTAAGTAATGGCGAAAACACTTTACGTAGTCCACTACCCACGACACTTTCAAATGGCTGAGATCGGAAATTTGCTTTGCAACTGCGCAATATTAACCAAGATGGGATTGACCATATTGACCATATTAACTTCCAGTTAATAACTAACCGGTCCTTTAAGAATGAGAGTGATTTTTGTTCCCAAGCCAAAAAAACACAATGCGCCGCCGACGGCGATGGAAGATTTGTATGCGCAATAACTGTATTTAGAATCTTTAGGTCACGAACCCATAAGGGATGTGACACAGGAGTGTTGAGCCATTATTTTGGGAGTTGTAAAGCGAGACCTTGTCGAACCACGCAATGTTAGGGCGCGGCTTCCGTATTACGCAAATGTTGAAAATTAAAAGCGCCCTTCCTCTTCTTCTGAAGTTTTTGTCGCTGTTTCATTGCCTTTTTTAGAATCATTAAACTATATGTTATAGCCCTCTGCGAGTAAAATTTTAGTCCCATTTCTCTAAATCCCGATTTAAGACAACTTAATATCACAACACTTTTCGCTCCGCTGCGACAATGGCGTCAATTCACGTGAAGAATCTAGCTGACCTTTGCCGTGTATGTGGCGAAAGGCTTCAAAAATCCAACAAAGCGGTTACTTTAGAGTTTCTCTGTATAAAATGGAAAGATTTCTTGGCCGAAAAATTTGAAATTGTTGTGGAAGAGGATCTTGAAGAAATACACCAGCAGTATTTTTGTCATTCATGTTACGCGCATCCTGACCGAAGAACACTGGTTACAGCCACATGGCTTACTCATTACGATGATAACTGTAGAGTATGTTCCCATGTAGAAGAGATAAAAAAAGGAGAACGGCCCAAGAAGCCAAAAAGGGGAAGGAAGGTCGATTCAAGACCTTCTTCCAGGAGACAAAGGACGCCAACGAAACCTCTTTACAAGATCTTGAAGAGTTTACCAAAGACTTACCTTCTCTTCGCTTCAAGAAGTTTTCCGATAAATTTTCCTTTCCCGAAAATATGAAACGAGATTTAGTTTGCCCGGTTTGCCTTCAAGTCTTGGATTAAGCCAGTGGAAACCACTTGTCAGCACTACTTTAGAATGCCTAAAGGGCTTAATTAACAATAGTCAAAGGGGTACATGTGCTGTCTGTAAGGAGAAAGTTGGCCCTGTAAAAATCGCTACACGAATGGTTCTAGAATAAATAGCTGAGCAGGAGGTAATATGTAAGAAATGTGCCCAGACTGTGCACTACGAACACAGTCCATCTCATGTTTGTTCCAATGATACTGCACCTGTTCCTGAACAGCCTCCAGCAATGGCAGCTCCGCTTTATCCCACCCAGACTTTGCAGCAAGTTCTAAAAGACGCTCGTGCTGGTAATTTCTTACTAGAAGTGGAAAAAATTTGCACGGCATATGTCAGGGGTAGAATTAAAAACGCCCAGATGGAAAAACTGTACTCTTCAAGACTGGTTGAAAGGTAACTTTATGTTTTGAATTTGTCATCTAATTAATCATTCTTCCCTCCCCTTATAGCATGTGCTCATTGTACCTATTAAATGTTGTTTTAGCCTTTAGGTGTAGTACATGTTCCTGTTGGCCAAAAACCCTCTGATCAAGTGACTGCTAGGCAGCGTCTTAATAGGACCAAAGCAATTGAGACAGTGGGTAAAATCATAAGCAGTGGCCAGATGGATGTGCACACGGTACACAGCCTTACACCGTAGAGTCAGGAGGAGAGAAGGCAAAGTTTGCATGACGCCCCGGGGAAGGAACTTGTTCTTCACATTCCGGAGGGTCAAGCAAATGCCTTGAAGGCAGATCTGGGGATCACCTGGTACCGTCTCAATAAACCAAGAAGGTATGTTATAGTTTAATCATGTTTTAATTGACTCATCATGTTACCACGTTACTCTCTTTTAGGCAAAAACAAAATAATGCCATTAAATATTCACAGTACATAGTTTGGATATCTGAATGTTTTAACATTAAGGTGGTTTACGCAATGGGGAATCAAGATGGAGAGTGAGAAGAAGCAAAGAGTACGCAAGAGGGAGCAGATAGGAGACAAAATTGAAGAGGAGCTTCTTCCAATGGAACACACAGGGAGACCAGGGAACAAGACTGTCACGGTAATAAAGGAAACTCCCTGTGCCTATGTCAGCGACCTTAAGGAGCAATTATTTCTTATGTGGATGACTGTGACTCGTAAGTAAGACTATGCTTCTTATTCTTAATTGACTAGAAGACATGTCTATAGGGGATTGTTTCTAATAACTCTTTACAATAATTTTTTCGCAGGACGGTACAACTTACTTGGCACAATGGCAAAATACCACAAGGCATACTTCTTGTTAAAACTGGGGGAGATCATGGGCAAGGGTCAATGAAATTAGAATTCAAATTGGCCAACCTCGTTAAACCCAACTCTAGCAAAAAAACTGTGGTAAGTTATGAGGGTAAGGATACCCGAAACAGTCTTCTCACAGTCCTTCAACAGCACGCTGATTCTCTGAAGGAACTTACTACTCTAAAAGTCAAGTAAGTTAATAATCCTATGCGCAAATTATTACCGGTAATACAAGTCTCATTATTCTAGTATTAATTTGGATGACTGTTTAAATTATATTTTAGGAACAAAATCCCAGTCCTCTTCCTTTTTGGGGATGACGAATTCCTTTGTAAAGTTATGGGAATCAGTGGTGCAAGTGGGACGCAAATCAGTGTAACAAATTTTAATGCACTTTAAATGCTAAAATAAATTCAGGAACTTGCAAATTCAACATTCTTTGTAGGACGTCCTTCATGCCTCCAGTTTACAATCATAGCTAGTGAGATGAAACTCCCAAAGAATCAAAGAAGCCCTACAACATCCCGTACCCTGGAAAACCTTCAGAATTGCCACAAAATATTCATTGATGATCGGGGTGACATAAAAAAGGCAAAGAACTACTGTAATGTAATCCAGAAGGCAATTTTTGTAATCCCAATTGATCAGGTATAACATCTTATCTAGAAACCTTTTCAAGAAAATGTAGATTATTTCTTTTGTATTATTTCACTAATATTGTTTTGCATGATAATCTTCAGATGTGCATTCCTGGTCTCCACATTAGCCTTGGACTGTTTTTGAAGTTTTTTGATATGCTTGTTGGGGAGAGTGATGAGTTAGATACAAAAGATTGCCTGGAAATTGGCTGAAAGCAGTAGTCAGCTAGCTGGTATGGGTGATCTAAATGAGCACGTCACACTTCTTATACAAGCTGCAGAACACTCAAAGGCTGCCCAAGATTACGACGCACAAGCTCAGTCAACTGAGGATTACGTGGTACACCTTCTGACGGTGGCCAGCAATGTTCTGGTGTTTGACAAGGGCAATGAAAACCCTTTGACAACATCGTTACTCAACTCTGTAAAAGAACTCAAAGAGAAAGCCGAAAATGAGCTTTGTTTTTTAATTGAAGAGCATGAAACTATCACAACTTGGACAATACTTGATGTCAAATTGATAAATGGAAATGAGATTTTCTTGACATTGGTTTCAGTTTATTCTTTCTGACTCTTGTATTTACTTTTATAGAGAGCGCAGTCACTGGCCATTCAGTCCATTATTTCTCTACCGAAAGGATCTGGGATAGTGAATACTGCGACTGAGAAATTTCTGCAGAAAATTGATGTCAAAAGACAAGCCTAACACAGTCAAAGTTTTGTTGGCAATTATGTTGACATCTGCCTTAAGGTAATAAGTCAGAACGAAAAACCTATCGATATTAGTGATTACTATTCAGACTTGTACCCATGATTAATAAAGTTTAATTATATTATCCTTTTTCAGGCAAACAACGTCAAATCTTTGTGTGAAACGATTTCTGAAACGACAAGGACCACATTTCCATCTCTTTTACATGAAGCCATTGCTATCCAGAAGAAGTTTGAATCACTGTTAACCCTGTTTGCCTGGTTCTATTCAAAATACAATTCCAGTGAGGCAGTGGAGCGCACAGAAATTGATGTGTTAGGTACAACAAAAACCTCGAGATCTCCAATTTTTTATATCACCTGTATGAGTTTCTAGGATTCTAATATTTTGTCCACCTTAAAATTGTTGTCAACAGAGACAGATATAGAAGAGTTTGTGTGTTTCTTCAGGACAACTTTCCCAGACTCTTCCTTTCCTCCCAAGCTCCACGTGCTCGAGGAACATGTTATTCCTTTCATGCGCAAATGGCACTTCCCTCTAGCGAGAAGGCGAAAGTGTCGACCATGAATTTGTCCAGCTTGCATCAACATTTTCTCATGTGAAGCCGGCGACATCACGACTAAAGAAAATGATGGAAGAGCATCATTTAAAACGAGACCAACCCCAGCAAGAATAAGTTCATAAGAATGTGCTTACTTTAGTTGAATAGCCGAGAGCTTTTTGCAAACAAAAAATTACACAATTTATTAACCAAATTGAAGTCGTAAACAGCTGTTAGGTTGAGCTTTCTAAGCATATGTTTTGGCATGTAAACAAGGTTTATTTTTGCTCAGGTTGGTCTGTGTTTACTACATTTTTTAAATATTATTTTAATAAACGTGACTGAATGTAGTTTACAGTCGTTGCAAATCACATGATAAAAACAAATGAAATAAAAAGCTAATACCAGAAGTCTATTACAATTACTCCGCTCTTTAAATCATATGGCTTTCTTTGCGAGAAAAGGAATAACACCGTAAAAAGATACCAACGCCATCAGTAGCTGGAGAAAACATGGCGGCGAGAATCCCTGAAATTTCCTTCCAAAAGAATCCTTATAGCGCGAGTAAATGAAATGGGATTAAGACACCGACCACAAATTTGTGGCGTTTCACCATCCATCTTCCGTTCTCAATCACTATTTCCCATGGAAAAACTTCAAAAAATCTACCAGAAGCGTGTAAAATGTTTGCCAAAGAGACTAGGGTCAAACCTTGCTATCGGAAACAATGAATTTCGTTGCTAATAAGTCAAAATCGGTCCAAGGACAGTCGGCCATTTCGATGTGCGCCATATCTTTGACCCTTCCATGATCTCTTAGACAATAGATTCTACGTGGCATCATTCTATTGGCTTTAAAGCAAAGACCCCACTCCATCCGTTGCAGCCAACAAATCCGTTGCTAGGTTGAATTTCATTACCATATCAGATAATGCTGGGCGCTTACCGCGGGCTCTGAACAAACTTAAATTCTGCTGCAAAAGCGCCGTGTACCAAAAGCAGTTTTTTTCTTGTCACGCAGTAGTTTCTCTCATCTTTAGTCAATGTTCGGCTGGCATGCGCAATAGGATGCTCTACCCCATCCTACAAAGCCATGATTGCTGGCGTCTGTGTCAAGTATAAACTGTTTGACTTTCTAGTCGTCTCGGATAAGGACGAGAAACCGTAGGCCCCGTCTCACAAGCCCTTGCACATGTAATAAATCTGTGGGACGTTAAAGAACCCACACACTCTTCATAAAGAGTAGGGCACGTAGTGCCCGGCGTAGTGGTCCATCTCACTTTCACACTCATGTATGGGGGGATCATTACTCGTTCTTTCATGACTTGTAAACTGCACCTAAGCAGTCTGGCAAAGTCCCCCAACCAGTGTTGTAAATTATCCCTGAAAAGCCCTGAGGGGAGTGGATAATAAGATATTTACTATTTACAAACTCCGCTGTAAAATCTGGTTATGACAAGACTGGGGCAATTGTCATTAAAGTCTTCAACGTGTCAAATGACGACTGGCAGTCAGGAGTCCAAGCAATCTCAGCATGAGCTTCAGTCAGTTTGTGGAGCGGTCTGGCCACTTAATCAAAACTGGGAATAAAGCGCCGATAATAGCTGGCAAGTCCTAAAAAGCTCTTTGCATCAGTCGCATTCCCTGGGACTGGCCAATCGCACACGCGTTCCACCTTAACCAGGTCAGTTTCAATACCACGTGCTGACACAATGTGGCTCAGGTACCTGACACCCTTCTGAAACAGCACACGTTTACCTTGTTTAAGCTTAAGTCTAGCAGATTTAAACCGTGCGAAACCCTCCTCTAAGTGTTCCAGTTCCTCTGCGAACGTTTTCCCATACACAATGCGTCATCTAAATAAACCACGCAGGTCTCCAACCTTAGTCCTGACAAGATCAGTTTCATTAATCGCTCCAAAGTTCTTGGTGATGACGTAAGACCGAAGGGCAGGACAGACCACTCATACAACCCTGAGGTAGTCTCGAAGGCAGCCTGTACCGCCACCGAAATGATCCCCACCATCGAAATGATCTCCGCCACCGAAATGACCCCCAATCACCACCGAAATGATCCCCACCACCGAAATGATACCTATTCGCAATCGAAATGATCCCGTCATAAATTTTCGGAACCTTGGCTTAAATGGACTTGGGACTTTGCTATGTATTCTAAATTCTTCGTTTATTCATTCAAAAACGATTCTAAACAGAGGAAAATAGAGAAAGCAATTAGACTGATAACAGTTCTATACACTGATTTTATTTTCAAAATTTTAACATTTTTTTAAGGAACTACATAAATC